GGGGGGGGGCTGGTACGAAATGTCCGTTATAGCAGGACTCTCGTTATAAGGGATCCAGTAATAAATTCAAAGGATATGATTATAATAAAGTAGGCCTAACTATGAATTTGATTTTCTGTTTATTTTATATATATATAGGCCTATATTTATTTATTTTTTTGTTATCTCTTCTGATGATGCTATTGTTCAATAACCGACTCGCACGTTGATCTGATTGCGCTATAGCAGTATTTTATTTACAAAGATAAAGAAGGGGAAAAACGGGGTTTTAGAATAGTGTCTTTTTTAAAGGATTTTTACGGCGCTCGCAACTGCATAAGGTCATTATATGAGCGTGTGAAACACAAGTTGGTTGCATTCACAACAGTTCACAGCACGACTGGGCTCGGGTCAATACATGTAGTCAGATTTTAAAATGTAAAAAAAATTCGAGGTAAATAAGTTCTTAGTTTTTAAAATAACATATAAATAACATTTAAAATTTTAAGGCAATTTTATTCAACTTGCCGTAAAGGCCATTGGCCTTAATAAAATCTAGGATTCTGTTGGGATCAACGACGGAAAACACATCCTACAAGAATTTTTTGCATCAAAAATATAATTTTCCTTCGGGTCTCTCCGAAGTCTAGACATTGTTAAAACGTGTCTAATGGTAAAATCTGTGTCGCATCCGACACAGAACGCTTCTCTTCTCCCCGAAGGAGGTATTTATGCGTCAGGACACGAGCAAAATTAAACATGAATTCGTCTCTTCTGGAAAGGCCCAAAGGATTTAGTGGTCCCAGTTTGGGCTTGATGTTGTAAAGTTTATTGTTAGCTTGATTTCTCCTATTAGATGAGTCTCCCACAGACTGGATGTGTAGTTTTTTACTTTATTTTCAAAGTCATTCTGCGGGAAAGTGTTCCTCGTTGATCCCAACAGAAGGGATAACTAAGGAGTCCTTCGCCAGGAGATCTACCTGCTCGTTTCCTCGGATGCCCACATGGGCTAGGTAGCCATGTGAACACGATACTTTTCCAGGTTTCAGTCGTATAGTGTCAAATCCTGCAGTACACGCCTGCCTTTGCTCTACAAAAGACTTCTCGTTATTTCAGGACTCGCTATAAGTGGACTCCACTGTAGCTCAACACTGCCAAAATTGTCTGATAGAACTTTGTACTTTTGAGGTAGCGGGTCGTCCAGCATTCTCAGCTGTATAGAAGTAGTAGAAGGGTTGATCTCTTTTTTTGGTTGTCATGGAAATGTCTCCATTTTTCCAGTTATTGAACTCATTTGACAGAAACCGTTTAAAAGTGTAGAAGTGAGAAGACAAGATGTGTAACTAGCTAGCAGCAAGCAAAGTACAGGAGAGAGATAAAGGTGACTGATTGAGGGCTGTTGTCGACAGAAAAGCAGAAGCAAACCACATCAGAGCACCCGCCAACCACCCACAGGGGTAACTAGCATGCAGCATACAGAGTAAAGAAGGGATAAAAACAATTGCGGTTTGTTGATAGATAGAAAAGGGGGAGCAAACCACACCAGAGCACCCGCCAACGCCCCAACCCCAAGAAAACTGGAACAGAAGTTACAGAGCAGAGCAACAAAGGACAGATCAGTGACAAAGAAACCACCTCACGCTTTTTTCACACTATCACAGGACAGATCAGTGACAAAGAAACCACCTCACGCTTTTTTCACACTATCACAGGACAGATCAGTGACAAAGAAACCACCTCACGCTTTTTTCACACTATCACAGGACAGATCAGTGACAAAGAAACCACCTCACGCTTTTTTCACACTATCACAGGACAGATCAGTGACAAAGAAACCACCTCACGCTTTTTTCACACTATCACAGGACAGATCAGTGACAAAGAAACCACCTCACGCTTTTTTCACACTATCACAGGACAGATCAGTGACAAAGAAACCACCACACACTTTTTTCACACTATCACAGGACAGATCAGTGACAAAGAAACCACCTCACACTTTTTTCACACTATCACACCAAAGGTGAACAACAAAAAATTCACAAAAATAAAACTACAGCTCATCATATAAAAGAAACACGTTTTTATTATCAACTTCTGGCTTGGTCGGTGTTACAGTCCTTCATGGTTCATCCATCATTATGTTTCAGATTTTCTCCCTTCGCTGAGGGGAACATTTTGGCCTCGAGAAACAAGAACTAGCAACAAGGTTTCATAAAGATTGTCAAGAGTCAGAGAGAGAGAGAGAGAGAGAGAGGTCTTGTCCAAAAACTCACAATATCTGACCTATACCAACACCAGCTAACTAAACTTTCCAATTTCAGACAAAAACCTCCAAACATGACTAATACTAATAGTTTTTAAGTAGCCTAACATTTTTTGTTTGGGTTTTTTTTTAAGGGTGTTTTTTTTTTAATCAATGAGAAGAAAACACGCACCAGTTTTTGTTTAAAGTTCTGTTTTTTTTCTTCGGTTCCTTCCTTTCCTTGTTTCACCACTGTGATGTAGTAGTAATAAAGACCGGCGCTATCTATCAGGCTAACAGAGCGATCAAACAAATGGAAATACAAAGCAATTTCATGCGACAAGCAAGACATGTGGCCAACACATTTATCAAAAACACTTTCATCAAAGAAAGTCTACAGGAATCCAATGTATGATATGAACATACACATGTGTACACTTCGCCCGTTTCTCCCGCCACCCCTAGCCTGACAACAATGCGACCGCCTGACAACAATGCGACCTTCGATAAATGCATCGCGCTAGGTAGAGCAAACCAAAAGTGAAAGCCAAAAAAAAAGGGAGTATCTTTGTGTTCACCCCCCCCCCCCCCCCCCCCCCCAACCCGTACATGTGTACATGTGTACACATATCTCCCTCCCCCCCTTCCTCCCCCCGCGCGTGCAGCTAGGAACTAGTTAGGCTGTGTATCAACATGAACATGCATCAGAAGAAGCATTCACTGGCCACCACAGTCTGTCGCCCACACTGCAGCAACGCCCCACCCCGGATATACACAGCTGGCTGGTGGCCTCAAACTTTGTCGTTATATCCATCTGGATGTATATAATATATATAATAGAAAGCTATTTTGTCAGGGGCGTATTATTAAAAATAAAAAAGGAAGAAATAAATAATAAAAACCGATGGCAAAGAGAATACCGGAGTCGTCATTGGAGATTGACAGGAAAAAAAAAAACCAATTCGGTCAAAGTGGAGAGTGGTGAATCAATACTGTTCCCAAAATAGCCCGCGAGAAACGGAGGAAAACAAAAATGTTCCCTCTAGCAGTGATATGCCTGACAAGAGCACGTTTGGGGAAGCATTCAGCAGAAAGAGCATGTAAAAAAAAGTGTTACATTTGGTGCGCTCCTCAACACAAGCAGAGAAAGTTACAAATTGTCATGAGCATCAATAAGAGGACACGCACAGAGAAGCCGTGTTGGGGGGGAAGGGGGTTCAGAGTAAAATTAGCTTGTAATCGTCGGTGACAAATCTCCAGTTTTCTGTCAAAAGTATGGCCTGTGGGAGTGCGAGACGACACCAGCGCAGCCACCTTCCTAGAGGTGAGAGAGAGGCAACAGAACGCTTCCCTCCCCACATGTCGTAGCAGTCTACGACACAGTAGCCGTCTGAGGTGTGGAGACGCACAACCACACAGCCCCCGACACAGGCTCACATTGACAAAACAAAAACTTGAGCTCCGATCTAAACTGTCACCGATATCCCCCGCTCCCCCCCAAATTTTGTTCCTTGATTGGCACCGAAAGAGTTGATTGACTACATACAAGTTTTACAGCACTCGCAACACAATTCGGTCAAGAGTACCAGAGATGAAAAAAAGAGTTGTAGAGGTGTCTAAAACAGTTGAGTTACTTTGCATAGAAACATAGAGCGCATAACACACACAGCGTGGGCTGGGGGGTTCCAACTGTCCTCTACATAACTCTCTTCCAACTGTTCCCACCCTTTTGTGATGGGCGTTTTTTAAAAAAAGGGCATTTCAATTTCAGGATTTCTATCAGTGCGTGTCCGAGGAAAAAGAAAAAACAAAAAAACCAACAAGGGCTTTTTCCTGTCGTAATTACAAGCAAGAAGTTCACTTGAAGTGTCCGGGCGGAGAGGCGTATGTAACGGTGTGGGCAATAAGACAAAGAATGCATCACGGTAAGACAAAAGCTTTACAAGAGTTAGGAAGAAGCTTGATGTGCTCAATACTGGCGTGTTGTTGTTGTTGTTGTTGGGGGGGGGGGGCTATGAAAGCCTCGTTGTCCCCAACACACCACAGAAAGCTATGACGATCATCAACTAAATATTATGAAAACGATGACAGGTACAGGTTCCAGAATGCATCAACAAAAGCAGTCACACACACACGCGCGCGCACACACACTACAATGCCACAGATTGAAAGAAAAAAATAAAGTACCCTCAGTCATACAAAGCAAACAAGGAAATCTTTTCTGTTTCTAGTAGACAAACTACCGACTACTGGAAAAATGCTCGTGAAGACGCCATCTCTCAAGATGTTGCCAATTACTGTAAGCCCTCCTACTCCCTCTCAAGTACGCTATACCGTCGCCACAACAGTCTTCAAGGCAAATACATGGCCACCAACAGCTAGACGCACACTGGCTCCTCTGACCAGAACAACCCAGCCCAGGTCATGTGGACTCACAGTCGTGTTGAGAAGCGCTGGGCTAAAACCCACTTGGAGAGGCACGGAATAGCAGATACAATTCTCAACGATTCTCAACACTCAAGTCCACTATCTCACATCCCCAGCCATCATAGGAAGCAAAACATCGCGCCGTGGAAATAAACCACTGGCAACAAACAGTTGCAGTAAATTTTGTTGTTTTTTAAAACAATCAACAGATCAGAAATTTTGTGCGAGCTACGAGGAAACAAAAAAAGCTGACAGATCCACACAGAAACGTCTGCGGCAAATGCGAGACACGCGCACCTCACAATATCCTCCAACTTTGCGAAAACAAAATAACAGAAGGAAAATTGAGTACATGGTGAAAAAAAGTATTTATTTCAGTTAGTGGTAGCAAAACAAGAGTACTTGTCACATGTCCATTTCTACAGCGCACGATATAGCACGGCTCTGCCACATGCTCCAGGTGTACATGCCGCACTGGTCAGCCCAGGAGCCGTGCCCAAACAGCAAACAGCACCCAATTGCCGACACAGAAAACAGCAACAATAGTTTACAAAAAAAAAATTTTTTTTTAATTAAAAAAAATAAAACTACTTCCAGAACGACGTTACAAAAACACCCAAATTTTTTTTTCAGAATTTGAAGAACAAAAAGTTCTTTCGAAAACAACTGTGTACCTTTACAAAATACCACATTCATTCATCTGATCAACTCTTGTATGAGAACATGTGTGAATAAATCAATGAATGAAGGCAAACAAATACAACTTATGCCCAACATGAAAAGACCACAATTGTTGTACTGTACCTTACCAATCACACACAAAGAAAGAAACAGAAAGAGAGAGAAGAAAAAAAACAAACAAACAAAAAACTCACAGATTTTTTTTTAAAAAGCTTCAGGCATGCCAACTGACTTCACAGTCAAGAGAAGAACTTTGAGCCAACAACTGCTGTGAAATGATGCTATAGTTAAAAACTCAAACAAACTACCTAAGCAAGGACATGTCCATCAACTGATCTGCTGTAGAGTTATTTAAACAAACAAAAAACAAAAAAAAAAAAAAAACCAAAAACCCACCTGAAAAACTAAAAATCCCCTCCCCATCCCACTGGCGAAAAAAAACCCAACCTGCCTGACCAATACTATAATAATATTACTCCAGTTGTCCACTAAAGTCGACAATTCATAATTAGAATAATCATAATTAATAATAATAAAAGGAGGAAATAGGATCAATAGCCAACATTTTTCAAGTAGTCTTTCATTCCTTCTACAGCAGTGCACACAGTCTGGGTCTTCACCTCTGGTGTGTGGTTTAAGCCGATGATCACCCCGGTAGCTGCAGACAAACAACAAACATGGTTTAGGAAGAGTTTTAAGGCACTTGCAAAACAATTAAAACCTGTATAAGTGTAGTAGAATAGAGTAAGAAACAAAGAGAAGCACGTCGGCACAATAATGGTCATTTAGTGCTGGTTTGTTTGTTTTAGTAGAGGGTTTTACGCCGCTCCCAACTGCATAAGGTCATATGAGTGCCAGAAGATTAGGTGTGTTACAAGAGAGTAACAAAACATAAAAAAGAAGGAGGAGAGATAAGGACGATAGATGTTTGATAGGAAAGAAGAAGCAAACCACACCAGAGCACCTGCCAACCACCCACAATGGTCATTTAGCGCTGGGAAAAGGTCAGACGAACAGACAGACAGAAACAACAGAAGCAAAGTAAAGAAGAAGAACCTACCAGAGGGGCCCACCAACCTCCCACCCGAAGAATAGAGAGAGTAATACGTGTAAAAAAGGAGGAGAGAAAGGACAATAGATGTAAACCACACCAGAGCACCCACCAACCACCAACACAAAACAGACACACTTGAATTTTTCCTGCCAGTTTTTGACTTGTTTGTTTGAGTACAGAGAAACATCGACACAATAATGATCAGTTTCTTTAGTTCTAGTAAGAGTTTTACGGCTCTTGCAACACAATAAGGTCATATAAGCGCCGGAGATTAGAGGTGTTACAAGAGAGTAACAAACACAAAAAAAGGAGGAGAGATCAGGACGATAGATGGTCGATAGGAAAGAAGATGCATTAGTGTTCATAAGTGTGCGAGCCCTTAATCAGCTGCTTACATTGTATGTTTCCAGCGAAGCCAAGAATGTTTCTTAGGGTCTGCTGGGCTAATAATAGACTTTGTACAATGCATTGTACAAGTTTAGTTTTAGTAGAGGTTTTACGGCGCTCGCAACTGCATAAAGTCATATGAGCGCCAGAAGCTTAGAGGTGTTACAAGAGAGTAATAAACATAAAAAAGAAGAAGGGTAGATAAGGACGATAGATGTTTGATAGGAAAGAAGGAGCAAACCACACCAGAGCACCCACCACCAACCAACACAAGAAGACAGATACACAAGACAAAGACATGACACAAGAAAAAGACAGAGACGCAACACAAGAAGACAGATATACAAGACAAAGACAAGACACAGCACAAGAAGACAAAGACACAGCACAGCTGCCCACCTGTCAGAGATATGACCAGACTGTAGTCGTTCCAGTCCGGGCTCTTGCCTTGTAAGAGCAAACTGTCTACATCCAGCTTGAGGCACGTAAACTTGGCCTGTCCCAGCTGAAAAGACAGACAACAAAACATTTTTTAAAAACAATAATAACACACAAACACACACATACACACTCACGAACACATAACACACACACATGTACGCCAAACACACACACACACATACATACACATGCACACACACACATCTACTTGCTTATCACACGTGCACACTTACACATCGTCAAGAAATGAGCATAAAATAATATACACAATGCAATTCACAAAATACATAAATGGATACATAGTCAAGACGAGCTCAAAAGGATAGTCAGGAAACAAGTCTTCCATTTTTCTATACAAAATCCTTCAAATGAGCTTGATTTTGTATGAAATGATACTACCTGATAAAAAATAAGCTTGTTTGATAGTTTTGAATACCATTGTCCAGTGTCAAAGAACAATTTGAGTGCAAAACATTCAGAAATTGACCTATATTATCCCCTTTCGAACCTCAGGTCATTCATAACAACAAGAGCGTCCAGAAAGGTTATTCAAATGGCGTAACTACTCGTAATGTCTTTTATCAGCTTGTGAGAGGGGGTTATTCAAGTGTTTGTGACATTTTATAAATAGAAAGCTAAGAACGATAGAGCGTTATTTTCATCATCAATTAACACACCCCCACAATATTCACGGCGAAAACACACGTTTCCCGGCGCGCGAACTGTACACCAACAGTACACACTGAGTGACCCCCGCGGCCTGCAGGGCACGTCTGACGTAATCGGTTGCTGATAAAATTCGCATCTCAGCACAGACGCAGGACAAGAGTTAAAACTCGAATCATTTCCATTCTGCTGGCACCTTTCCCTCGGCATCCCGACTTTCGACACACACCGCTACAACACAAGCAAGGGGCCACAAACTCACCGTGATGCCGTTGCCGTAGACACTCTGATCCCCAGTAGAGATGATGTTGACCGCCTGGGAGATCTGTTCCTGGGTGATGTTGAAGGTGCTCTTGTTTTCGCTCTCGGCCCAGCAGCCGCCCTGGCGACCATAGATGCCTGCGTAGGTGCACTTGGCCGACCCATCTTCAAGGCTCTTCACGTAGGCGTCCCAGCTCATGTTGCTTTATGGGAGAGGATCTGGAAGAAAACAACAAGTGTTCTTCAAAAGACGTAAAAGAAAACAACAAGTGTTCTTTGAAAGATGTGAAAGAAAACACAATAAAAAAATGTTCTTTATGAAAGATGTGAAAAAAAGCACCCAAAAATAAATCCTTTATAAAAACTGTTCTATTAATATGAAAGACTTTAAGGAAAGCAACCCCCCGCCCCCCTGCAAAAAGTTCTTTATGAAAGATGTGAAAGAAATTTTTAAATGCCATTTCAAGTGACAGATGTGAAAGAACACCTCCCTCCCCAAGAAAGATCTGAAAGAAAAAAAGACAACAAACAAAAAAGTTTTACGTAAAAGATGGGGGGGGGGGGGTTTGTTTTATATGAAAAATAGCACCAAATGAAAAAGGTTGTTTTCTTGCTGAAGAGAAGCAGGATGACAAATGAATGGTGATCTTTCCGTGTGGGACCAGAGTGGGGCACACACATGTTACAGCTCATTTTCTCACAGTACAAACATCCAGAAGAAAGGAAGAGAGGGGGGAAAAAACAATTTTTAAAAACAACAAAAACGATTGCAGTAAAGACAGTTCTAGAGGATGAAGCATGTTGAGAAATCAAAAGTAATGTGTGTGTGTGTGTGTGTGAGTGTGTGTGTGTGTGTATGTGTGTGAGTGTGTGTGTGAGTGTGTGTGTGTGTGTGAGTGTGTGTGTGTGTGTGAGTGTGTGTGTGTGTGTGTGTATGTGTGGAAAGAGCGAGGAAGACAGGTGGGGAAAAAATGGGGAAAAAATAGTCAACCCATCCAGTGGCTCCCTCTCCTCGGAGGCTAAGGAAAACAACCCATTTCGTACAACTGTCATTTTATCTTCATGTTTGTTTGAGTTGGTGTTTTACGGCACTGTTGACTCAGTTTTGGCCACAACTATACTTACAACTTACTGTCAAAATGATAAGGTAACGAGCCAGTCATGAGCAGAACTTGAGCTTCCACATGAGAGTACAGCATGCATGTAGCGATCTACAGTGTTTTAGTAAGTGTTTTACGGCACTAGCAACACAATAAGGTCACATAAGTGGCAAAGATTAGAGGTGTTACAAGAGAGTAACAAACACAAAAAAGGAGGGGAGAAAAAGACGATACATGTTTGATAGGAAAGAAGGAGCAAACCACACCAGAGCACCCACCAACCACCCATAAATCCGGGACAGCCCCAGGAACATCAAGACATTCATTTTGAACTCCTTTGTAAAAAAAAAAGTGTTTCAAAAGACGTCTCAACCAATTCCCCCCCCCCCCCCCTAAAAAAATGACACGGCTGACAATGGCAGAAGTAGGACCTACAAATTGTCTCCTTAAAATTCAAACCACACGCAACTTGCAATGCAATACCTTTTTGTTTCTTTCGTTTGTCTTTCAGTTTTACGTTATGTATCAGGGAATAAAGAAAAAAGAAAAGCAGACGTACAGTTAGACAGACAGACATATGTGAGGCAGCGTGGTGGAATCAGGCTCTCGTCAATTTTCGGGCATGTAGAGTTATTGGTATCATCTTAAAGCGTGTTCACTTGTCTTTATTTGGATGAAAAAAATATCCATTTATCTTGAATACAAGTGGAGATATTTGCAAATGAAGGAGGTGGGGGTCACCTGTTTTCAGAGGAAAAATTAGTGAGAAAATGGCCGCCAAAGATTGGTTATTTCCTTAGCTTAAGTTAAGAGTCCGTTGTAACTGAAAATTTGTATTTTTTGTGCCTTTCACCAATGTTTTTCAGAACAATCCACACAGAAATGGGTTCTTTAAAGGGCATGAAAGGTGTTGGGCCATAAAACAAAAATTTTATAAAAATTCACAAACCTGCGGAAAAATGTAGGTTTCTTCAATTTGATTATTTTGACAAGACCCTGATTCCACCACACTGCCTCACATATGGGCAGTAGAAAAACTGATATATGGAGACAGACTTTCTGCATTACATTGAATGTAAGAAAACGTAAAGGCAACAGATCAACTACATGTAAAAACAGAGACGAAATCTGCTCAATGGAGAAGCTATGTAGCTTCTGTAGACTTCCAACCTGATCTATGCTAAAAAAATCTATGCTTAAGAGGAACATAGATACACACACACGCACACACAATCATACACAAAACACACACTGTATACTCTCTCTCTCTCTCTCTCTCTCTCTCTCACACACACACACACACGCACCCACACAAACTCAAAAAACAAAAAAAACAGAGGCCGGTGACACAGGCTGAGACTTGGGCATGTACAGATGTATTTTTGCAGCATCACAACCACTGAGCAACGACAATACCACAACATCAGTACATAATCTCATGGATGTCTCTAGAATGTTCTCGGGTGCTGGAAGTCAACACGCCAAATGGCATATTACTTACTACCATGGTAATAAAAACTTGTTGAATTACAATCCTTACCACCCCCCAACCCCCCCATCCCGCAAACACCACATATATTTGACTCATCAACAAAAAAAAGGGTAATTTTATAGAAATAAATGTAGGTGTTTTTATGTCCCCATCGACACAATTTAGGTTGTTTAGGAGGCGGGCTTCCAATCCTGCCTGTCATGGCCACCCTGTGCAGAAAGGAGAGGGATTGAACATACCAACAGACAACAGAACAACCAAGACACTCCATAAAACTTTTCTCCCTACTCACGAATCAAACTCAGGGACTTGTGTGTGCAACAGCAAGGCGTCTAACCGCTACACCACAGACGCCAGTGATTCCACTTTGAATAGCGGGGAAAACATTTTACCGTCATTCTTCATCACCGAAGACGCCATTCTTCATCACCGAAGACGGGAGATGCGAGCAGCAGTATTTACAAGTCCATGTATTATTTATTGCAACATCAGAGGAGAAGAAAGTGCAACTGGACACACACAAGGACGTTCAAAGACTGGAAGCCTTTTTATCCAACAGTGGCGCCAAGGACCTTCGCTAATACAGAGGAGTGCTCAGCGACTGCTCACTAAACTCTCTCCAGCCCTGTTTCAATATCAGCATATCACAATTGTAACTGTTTTTATGTCCCAATCAATAAGATTTAGATCATTTTTGTGTCAATTTAAAAATATCAAAAACAATGAAAAGAGATCTTCTCTATGGCCATGAAGAGCCCCTGCTAACTACAAGGAAACATTGAAGGTCCATCGGAGCTGAAAAACTGTGTCAGTCTAACACCCTGTTCAACACTTTTAGGTGATGTAAGAGGCAGGACCTCCGAACTGAACGCTCCACAGTCCAGTAAGATCCCAACTGAGCTAATGGAACGTCCCTGCCCAATGGAATTTGACGCAGAAGCTAAAAGAACGCTAAGTAGTACGGACAGACGTCTAGACTCATTTACCTGTACAGGCCCGGATGGAAAGAATTTGAAAGATGGGAGGGTATGACGACATACTTATTCTTTTAACCGTAAATGGGAGGGTGTGATGACATACTTATTCTGTAAACCGTATATGAACAATGAGGGTACTCCTAACACGATCATTCGCCCCCAGATAGATTGATCCAACAGCCAACTATTTAAACAACAAACACAAATGCAACTGAACCAATAAAATTTGCACATTCTCCCAAATACTCATGCTGCACACCATTAAAAAAATGTCCTATGCCCCCACCCCTCCACCAAATAAGACGGTTTGTTCAGGGGTTGGGTTTTTCCCCTTCTCCCACAATGTTAACAATTACAAAGATAAATAAACAGCAGCCATTGGGAGAGAAAAAAACAACCCACTGATGCAGCAGCAGCTCAAATTAGCACCACAAAGCAGAAACTTGCGTATTCTGTGACACCATGAATGTATGAATCATTTGCAACTAACCTGATCTTACTTTATTAAAAACAAATTTTTTTTTCAAACCACAACGAAAGAAAGGAGAACAGTGAAAACACGGCTACTTGACTACACATGTCACACGGAATGGCCCTGCCTGCGCTCACGACAGGGAAAGTGAACAACACATTCAAATTTGTTCGTACACACGACGACGTAACTCTTCACAACACGCAACTAACGGACAGAACATAAAAAACCAACAAAACAAACCTCTTCCAGCGATGACAGAAACACAAAACAAAACAAAATAAAAATGTTTGCCTAAATCATTATCCTTCATTCTCCATCAGGGAAACAGACAAATTTATACAAGTGCTGGAATTTGGAGAAAAAAAAACAAAAAAATGTTTTTTCCCCGGAAAGAAATATTACAGTCTTTTTAAAAAAACAAAATCACAATGATTCAACCGAATTCGTTATTTTTTCCCCCCTCATTTCTTCATTTGCGAGCAGGCTAAATGTTGTTTCCAGCTAAGTAGTCCCTGAGGTCCTCCACTTTCTTGGTGCAGTCTCTCTCCGCCGGCCCGCAGATCCCACCAATGAGCACGCACGTCTTGCCCAGGCAGGCGTGGAGCAGATACTTCTGGTCCTCCTGGGGGGCTGTGCGGCACTTGGCCGTCACCGAGTCGCTCTGGAAGCGGATCACCGTGTACTTCTGGCCCCCGATGTGGACCCCTTGCTCAAAGCTCTGGGAGCGCAGCCCGCTGACAATGGCCGCCACTTCCTGGGGAGTGGCCTTCATCAGGGGCGAGGCGGCCCACACGTTGCCGTCCTGGCCGTAGATTCCGCCCATCTGAATACCCGAGCTCAACATGTGGTCCACATAGGCTTGCCAAGCGTTTGCCATTTTTGCTTTTTGGGGTTGCAAGAATTGTTTAGAGCTGACTTAAAAAAGCTCTCCCGCCAAAAGGATGAAAAGTCTCTGAAAGTATCAAACAAAGAAAAACCTTCATTAAAACTCTTTCAATTCTCACACCATGACTCAGGTCTACTTAACATTTTTAAGGCTCTAAATACAATTACTTAGCTCTTGCCAAAGTGAACCAGTCTCTAGCAAAGTAAATCATTTACCCAAAGTGACTCTGTACAATTCGTCTCAGAGGAAATGAGTGAATAACTCAACTCACATTTATCCTTCTGTGAAGTGGTCATACTGTATTTATCATTGTCTTCACTTCTTGGGCTGGGCAAACTGGATGGGATGGGACAACTCAAAGTGGGTGGGGGGAAGGTGGTGCATTCACCGGTGGTGGTATGGGGGGGGGGGGGTGGGCACGCCAGTCCAACAGGGACATCATGAGGGTTTTGGGAGGAGTTCAAGTTGGGCAAATTTGACTAGACAAAACAAAGTTACAAGAATTTTCACTTGTTTAAAACGCGATCAATAAAACTTTGAACTGTAATTACAGAAAAATGCTTCACAAATTTAACAAAACATGCCTTTTCTTATATCAGCTTGAACAGTCAGAAGTAAAAAAATACAGCAAAGAAATTATTCATTAAGGTGAAATTAAGCAAGTTATGCATTTAATTTATGTACACAAGTACACATTAGGTGTACATACTATTGTATTACTTAAAGAAATAGCTTCGCAGAGAAAAGCAAAATTAATCTTTATTTTGCAGTTGTCAGGTAAAGCGGTTATGAAAAGTTTTAATCCAAGAAAAGCATTTAAGTTAAGCGGAAGTTACAAAAAGCGCATCCCAACACAACAAAGACAAGTTAGTGCATGCGTAAAAAAACAAAACCAAGGTAGAAGCAAGAGGGGAAAGAAAAACAGAAGAGCATGCCTGTGGTGGCCTCGTGCACATCAACGCTCACACCCAGGACAGTCAAGCAGGGGAGCGCAACGCATTCAAAGGGGAACAAAATTGGGAAAAGCTTCTCAAAGGGGAACAAAATTGGGAAAAGCTTCTCAAAGGGGAACAAAATTGGGAAAAGCTTCTCAAAGGGGAACAAAATTGGGAAAAGCTTCTCAAAGGGGAACAAAATTGGTAAAAGCTTCTCAAAGGGGAACAAAATTGGGAAAAGCTTCTCAAAGGGGAACAAAATTGGTAAAAGCTTCTCAAAGGGGAACAAAATTGGGAAAAGCTTCTGCAAAATTCTAAAAAAACAGCAACAAAAAAACACCCAAGCAATAAAAAAAGGAAAAGACAAAATGGTGCAGAAGTTTCTGCTCAAGTGAGAGGTTCACATCAGTTGCAACACATGACAATACGGTCGTATTGGTGACGAAGATTAGACGTGCTACTGTTACAAGAGAGTAACCAACACAAAAAGGAGGACAGACATGGACCACGGATTGTTAGATAGGAAAGACGGAGCAAACGACAGCAGTGCACCCGCCAACCATCCACATGAAGAAGTTAGGAAACAGGCATGGGTACAAAGTCAGTATGGACTATATATATAACACAGTGAGGTAGGTGGAACAATTCTACTTGTTTCGGAAACTAAAGAGAGAAAGTTACTACATGTCAGAAAAATGATACTGAGATATGCCACACAAATACTGTAAAGGTGTGCAAGTTTATTATGTGTTACAATACAGGGTGCTTGTGAACATTGAAACAAAAAAACTAAACTATGGAAAGAAAATTCTTTAAAAAAAATAAAAATAATGAACAGTCACACATTATTTTCCAAACAACCATAAACTGCAAACAGGTATCTTTTTATACACCCCCACAGACAACAGTTTAGTTCATATATGAGACAGAATTCCAAATCTGCCTGTCAGAGCCAACCAACCCCGAACTGAGAGGGATACAACATCCCAGCAGAAAGACACAGCGAGATATTTTTAAAAATGCCCTCGCTCAGCAATCCATCTCGGGTCTCCTGCATGCAACAGCGGAGCAGCTAACCACAGAGGACAGCATTTAACCAAATGACAAAGCAATGAAAAGCCCGAAGCCTCACAGGACCCCCATGGACGTTGCTGTCGTCCAACCAACCAACATGAAATACAGATCAATATTCAATGAACATTCAAACATATAAAAACAAAACCAGCAAAAAATAATAAAGCTTCGTACAAAACCAAAAAAAATTGGTAAATTGCTGCACTTTTCCCAAACTCCCGTCTACAGAATACACACAGAGAAAACAACAGATGGAGAAATAGAGAGCATGCTGTTAGTAGTGGCATAACCAAAGACTTGAACTATAATATCCTAGACCGGGCACTCAAGGCGGCAACTCTTTGGGCACTCATGGCTGCAACTCTTTGATCGCTGTCAAAATAAATTCACTTCACCATGGTCACAGAAATGGGAGGGCAAAACACAGCCTCAAGTGCCCAGTCTGGAATATTCTACTAGCCACAAGTGTACACATCAAACAAGACTACACAATAGTACTTAGATACAGAAACTACTCAGTGACACAAGATTTGTGTAGCAAAAACATCATGCAAGTTGTTAAAGTAGTGAGTGCATGCTGGCAGAGTGCATGCTGGCAGAGTGGCATGCGAGGAGAGAGTGGTGATTTACCTTCCACAGTGGGGGGTGGGAGATCTCCAACCATCGTTGGCCCAAATCTCTTGTCAGCAAAAATTCTCTTGTCTCCAGCAGGGCAAAAAAACACTACACAGCCACTTCACTCATTCCATAACAAAATGCTCCATGTGTATATATAATGTTGACAGCATCTCTGAGAAGCCCGCAACTCAGAATCTAGGCCATCAAACACTTAAGTGATGTTGACAAATTTTAACAGAACTTTGCTCGTTCTCTTTTGGGGGGTTTTGTGTTTGGTTTTTTTTGGTTTTTTAGTCTTTTGTTATGTTTTTTTGTTGTTTTGTTTGGGGGGTTTTTGGGTGGGTG